GCATGAAAAATCAAATGGAAAGCACACCCCCAAAGAGGAACACCAGCTCTCTAGCAATGAACACTAACCAGGTCCAGAATACTAAAATGACAGAAGAAGAATTCCAAACATGGATTATAAGTAAGCTCAATGATATGCAAGGAAAAATGGATAACAATCACAAGGAAACCACCAAAAAAATCCAGGAATTGGAAGAAAAATTCACTAAAGAAATTGAAATATTAAAGAAAAATCAAACTGAACTCCTGGAAATAAAGGACTTATTAAGGGAACTTCAAAACATTGTGGAAAGCCTCAAGAACAGGGTAGATCAAACAGAAGAAAGAATCTCAGAGATTGAAGAAAGTTCCTTCCAAATTAATAAGTCAGTCACAGAGATTGAGCAGAAAATAAAGAAAAAAGAAACAAGCTTACAAGAAATGTGGGATTATGTGAAAAAAACAAACCTGCATCTGATTGGTGTACCGGAAAATGAAGAGGAAACCACGCAGGGGCTGGATAACCTATTTGAAGATTTAATAGAGGAGAATTTCCCAGGCCTTGCTAAAAACCTATATATACAGATACAAGAAGCGCAGTGGACCCCAGGGAGATTCAATGCAAATAGAAAGACACCACTCACGCAGTCATCAGATTGACCAAAATAGCCACTAAAGAGGCCCTACTACAGCTGTAAGGCGAAAGAAATAAGTAACATACAAAGGAAAGCCTATCAGAATAACTTCAGACTTCTCAACTGAAACCTACAAGCAAGAAGAGCCTGGGGCCCCATTCTCACTTTTCTGAAACAGAATAATGCCCAGCCTAGAGTCCTGTACCCTGCAAAACTAAGTTTTATATATGAAGGAGAAATAAAGACATTCTCAGATAAACAAAGTCTGTGGGAATTCACCAGGACAAGACCCGCTCTTCAAGAAGTACTCAAAGCTGAACTACACAAGGACCAGCACAATAAACACTCAAATGTAAAACCACTCAAAAGCTAAAGATCAAAGGCTAGAATCCACAATGGCTCAAGAGAGAAAACAAAGCAACAAAAAGCAACTCAACAGCCCGACGCGGTGGCTCA